ACCTATGTTAACACTTAATCTAACATGGTGCTACTAATTCTTAGATCAATTTATTCTCATTTAGAAACTAAACCTCATCATTGTACGGTTTAACATGAAAAACTAATAACGAGCTTGACTCGTCATTTTACCACAAGGAGTTAATCAGCCACATTGAAAAAAATACAAACTGAAAATCTTCAAAAAAACACAATTTTTGTTAATTAACGAAGATTTCAGATAATCCGCGTGGCCTCACTAATACTTGCAGTGTTTGTTGTATATTCTTAAACTTTAAATGTTATTTTAAATATTACTTACTATATTAAGTATTACTTACTGCATTAAATATAGCACCCATAACAGACCGACCACAAATTCAGATAATAAATATATAATCTCGTAGAAATGTAAATGAAAAAATATATACACGCTATTTATCTCAACATATACGTATCATTGATCGAAAGAAAAGATTTTCGCGCAAAATAATCGTTACTGTCATGCATTTGGAACAAAAAATAATCGAAACTTCTGTTAGGGAGTTTTACTTAACGATTTATAGTCCTGAAAGGTATTCGCCAAAGTTTGCACGCCACTTTTATTACTCAAGGTATCTCATCGAAAAAGAACCGTAACGCCGAACGTAATTCATGAAACTAATTATTTCGTTTGGTCGCCGGAATGAGAATCGCGAGAACGTATCCGGTAATTAGTCACTCGATTTTCGAAGGAAACAATTTGTAACAATTTGATCAATGCACTCTTTACATAATCATAGTTGCAGTTTCACTGGAATTGCCCCTCATTCACGATTCGCACACTTGAGTGTGGACAGGATGTACGAAAGAATAAGTGCGACAGGTTCGCACTTTGCGTCTCGCTGGTCGTTCCACTACCACACCAAAAATATAGTTCGCCTGCGCGAGAGAGATGGTAGAGATTGGGAGAGAGAAGGAGAGAGAGAAAGAGCGATGTGCGAACGGTTGTGTGTCGGAAGCAAGGCGGTGATATTAATATTGGATGATTAAATGGCTCCGGATGTGCGGATTCGTCATTGGCCCAAAAATCGTAACCTGAATCTCGAAAACGTTGAGGAAGACGATAGTAATGGGAAATATTGTACCCACTTCTTCCCTATTTTCTTAGTTTACTTTCTATTGTGCTTAATTTTCTAAAGAATATTTGGCGATTTTTTAATGAATAACACTGATAAAAAATAATGATATATAGTATTTTAAAATAAAACATGTTTTATTCTTGATCAACGTTCAAATGTTGCAGTATGCAACAATGTTTGGAACTATAATGTACGTGACGTTCTAGTATTAACAGAGTTTAAACATTGTTTGATAAACAACAAATATATGTGAACATTGGAGTTGTTCGTAGCTGCAAATATTTTACTTTTCTTCTGAAATTTATTGAATATCTGCTTTATCTTAAATTATCATTTTGTAACATACACAGGTTACGATCTTTAAAATGAAATTTCTTTAATATATGTACAAATCGACGAAATATGTTGATAATTATAGAAACATTTTATTTTTTTTCATTCTTCGTAATTTTTATATTTTTAAAAGCAATCATATATAATATTACATTACTGAGTAGAAGTCATTAAGTTGCTGATAATTATGCTGGCTTATATGTTTGTAAACTTGTTTAATGAAAATCCTATTTACGCAGTGTTGTTTCTTTGATCATGAAAATTTTTAATTTTTTATATTATCAATACTTTTATAAGTCATAGAAACATGAATATTCGCAGTTTACTAATCTCTAATTCTATGTTTATTAGCGAACAATTAATTCATACAGTCTCTATATTTCGTTTCACCAAAGTTATTTTTTCTTTGCAACTGAACGTTTGTATTGAATTAAAATACACGAAATAGTTAAAACGAAATGTAAAGAAATCATCATTTGTCTTTTTCCAGTATACTACTATCTCAATTCAATTAGCATATCGTGTTTTTTCTATTTTTCAAAAATATTATACGCAGCAGTCAAAACTAAGTAAGATTTTAAATCAATATATATGATACGTTCATCTTTTCTAAATTAAATCGATTTCTCGCCATTATTCGCTGTTAATTTAATTGAAACATAAGACACTCGTTTAGAAGAAAACGAATATTTCTCGTATCATCCAGTTACGTATTTCTATATTTAAATAGAAACTTGTTTCACTAAGCACGTGTGATCGATTTAAGCCAGAAATTGTAACCTGCCCGCTTCACTCGTGGCCATACTTCAGTAACATTTTAAAGGCTCCAAGCTTGCATGAATAATGCCACACCACCTAAATTCATCGGATCCCTGTTGTTCGTAATTAGTCAAAAGGAGCGTGCCTGATTTCTCGTATTACCCGTGTTACCTTTGGCACACGTTTAATGTGTACGAATGTGCTGATCCGTTTGCTCGACGACTTCCTGCGTAAAGTGAAAACAGCGACACGGGTGGAAGAGGAGCCAGGATGTTATGCGCCAAATTCCTCTCTTTTCTATCTTAAGAATTCCGGGATTCCTTGTAGGCGATAAGAAATTACATAACTGAACGGGGTGATTAAAAGCCGTAATTAATAACTTCTACGATAGATTGGAATCGCCAGATGCTGAGAAAAGGGTTGTAATATACGTGAAAGAAAGTAATTTTTACAAAGTTGGGTATAATCTTTTATTTCTGTTAAAGGGATTAATATTCTCGCTTTGAGAATTGTTGCACCGTATGAAGAAAATGGATTACCTTACCATTTCTTCATTTCTTCGCTACAATATGTAGTATTATAATCATGGTGGTTCTTGTGTTATGCTATGTGCGTAGAGTGAAAAGATAAATAACCTATTGTTTTCACGCGATGAAAACGGTCATTTTAACCGGAACGAAAAATTTTTTCCATGCATGTTTACTAGAACATTTTCTTCTATTTGACGAGTACTATTTATTCTAAACGTATTGAATATTTTCTGTTTGATGAGCCCACGATTATACACATGCAATCGATCCAGCTACATCAGAAAATTTAAAAATAATGTTCACTTTTGTGTTGTATTTCACATTTTCGGTACTGCCATTTTTTGTAGCATCTTATCGATTTAATAACAGATTTAAATGAGACCGATTTTTTACATTTAAAAGTGGGCGGAACTAAAATGAAGTCATATATAATTTGAATTTAAAGCTTATGTAATAAAAAAATGAGTCTACACAATACATCATCGTTGACTGAATTAAATAATTACTCGCATAACGTATAGACTGATAGTGATCAAATTGTTAGGATATTTTGTTTAAAATTACCGAGTATTTTATAGTCTCTGATAAAAATTCAATTTTAATATAACTAACCATGAGATTTCCAACAAGTACAATTCAGTTTTGAAATAAATTATCAAAGATAAGATAAGCGACTGAGGTAAATGTCTCCAAGATTTGCAAGATTAAGAACGTATAAATACTTGTTCGGACCAAAAATATGAAAAGCTAACTCTCAAATAGATTTCCACGTCTCATTAAATCTGAATTTATTAACCCTTCTGCTGCCAAGATCAAAGGACATTTGTAATCCTACAAAATATTATGTAGTATACGTCATTTTCCACGGTAAATGCTGGGTAGGTTAATTTTCGTGGAGCGACATGTGGTTAAGCT